CCCTCCCCACTAGCTGCATCTTTGGTGATACTTAACCACTTTTATTAACACTTTGTTGGCTTGCCCATCCAATCTGTCTGTCCCTTCAGGTACTTCATATATTTTCGATTTATAATTTGGTCCACTCATCCCATCTACATAAGTGTACTTTATGCTTTTCTAATTTTTCTGACCCTTTGATTTTTGATTGGTTGGGTTTTGGGGGTTTTTTTAAGCCTGTGATCACTGTCTCCACTAGATGGACCTCATGAGATGTTAAAGATTTTTTTTTTTTTTAAACTGTACAAGGTTTTAAAAAAGTGCACTGCAAGGCCCAAATTCTTTTTGTACAGTGAGTACATATTGAAAAAATAATACAACTGCTGTTTTTAGTGAGGACTCATGATCAAATAGAATTATGAAATTTTACTGTCGGCCTATCAGTCTTTACCCCACCCCATTAACTACTAAAAACTTTGAGCAGGTACAATCAACTTTAACAATTGTAAAAATGCGAAGGATATCACAAGGGAGTATTCCCAAAGGCAGAGTTCAGCATAGGGAGATTGCGCTTTTTTTTTTTTTTTAAGTTTGTGGATGGGAAACCTCAGGGGTCATTCAAAGCAGACACCTGGATTATTAGCCAAGTTTGTAGTTAACAGTGGGTCATCTACTGTTCTCAAACTAAAAATGGTTCTTCTCCTGAAGAAACTTTTCTCTCCTTTCTGTTTACCCTTTTTGTATATTACACCTGGACTATCATTATATTGTTGTTTAGAATTAATAGTATTTTATTGATAATAAAATTAAAATGATTGATAAATATAATTAACAGTATGTTAAAAGTCTAGTTATGATGTTACATATTTCTGTGAAAAGCCAGCAAGTTATAAAATTGCAATAAATAGAAAAAAAAAAGTCTTTGGATCAAGTAATTGGGTAATTCAAGTCTTTAACTGGTAGCCACATAAGTCAAACATTAGAAAGTTGTACAAAATTACAACTAGCTACAACGAAGCTGGCAAGCTTCATTCGTCCTGGGCACCACATCTCCTATGACTCCTCAATTTTTTCTAGCATTGCCCTTACCGACATATATGTTAAGTGTTGCACTGTATGTTCTTACCTTCCATTCCTAAATGTTAGTTTATCCAAAGAACAGCACTGTACTTATTCCATCCCACACTGAGCAGCAGAAGAGAATTGAAAGTTAGTCTCTACTGTTTGCATTGATTCCATTCACCATTTTGCAGCAATTTAGTAGTAGTATACAATTTTATATACTGTATTTTCTTTATTATTTTCACGCTTCATGGAGATCATCTCAATGAAGCTACAAGATCAAGAGCACCTTTTTCAAGTTTTTAACATTGAACGACTTCCTAAAAGGATAGCATTTAAGACTTGCAAAGAAATTTCTGTCTTGTGAATGTATTTGCCATTTTGTTGCTGTCTCGTCAGGCATGCTTTCCAGCTATCAGTGTATTTTTTTTTCCTCTAAGTTTTCCTTTTAGTAGTATTTTGAGTAGAATTCTCAGATGTTTCTAGAGGTCAAGCATTATTAGAATGTCTGGCTTTACATTTTTCTCAACCTGTTCTATTTGCTTTGTCATTAGCATTTAGAAACTTTTTTCTTCTTACTGTCAAGAAAGCATTAAAATAATTTGTTTGCTAAGTACATTGTTACATTTCTATCTATGCTTGTTCAGTTTAGTAATTTTGAATGAGAATAACAGTGAACTTAATTGTCATTCTTTAGAGGGCCAGAACCTCAACTAGTGTAGAATGACAGTCGTGTTATGCCAGTTAGGATCTGGTCCAAAACATCGATGTTCCACAAAATGGAAAACCTTAGTTGAGATCATCCTTTTGAAGACTCCATGTTCATAAAGAAGCGACGTGATCTGGTGCATAATAATCTCTTCCCTTCCCAACTGTCTCTGGTAAAAAAAAGAGCTTTAGGAAACATGTTCATTTCCTGCAATAAGTAGTCATTTAATTAAAGAACAAAAGTAACAGGAATCAAAAATGCTTGCAGCTGTGATTCTGTTAGACATTATATAAAAAAGAATGAAATTATAATACATTAAATTAGTTTTTAGAACATGAACTTAAGTGTTTTACAAACTAATTGTGGTAAGTTCAAAATGTCTTCTCAACATAATACTGAATGACAGTGTGTCATGTCCATTTATGTCAAAGGCCTTGGAATGGTAAAGCCTGTACATGCACGACATCTCCTTTTCCAAGATAGACTGCAAAACAGTTTAAAACAAGTGTTAAAGGAGAGTAGTAGGTTCTTTCAAGTAGCTTTGCTTCAGTCTTTTTCAGCAGATCGCCCCACTCCACAGGCCATCGCTCTTCTGACTTCAGAGCGAAGTACATCTCTGGTGTTTCCTTCTGTATGTAAGTGCTGCAGAGACTTCAACTGCAGAGTCCTTCTTTCACATAAACATCAAGGTATCCTGGACTGAACTTTAGGGAAAGGCTTATATATTCCCTGATATGTGTTCAGCAGCAATATCAAAAAGTAAAGACAGATTCTTCTCAGAAGAAAATTTCTATGGCCTGTGAAATCTAGGAGAAATAAGAGACGTTTTTCAAACCTCTTTGAAATAAAATATAATTTTTAAAGATTCTATGTTAGATTAACAATGTAAAAAAACCCCACAAACCCTATTCATTGTGTTTAAATGTACAGTAACAGTATTGAAGAATATTAGTGACTTTAAGTCTTAATTTTCATCAACACATTTCCACACATATGCCATGACTTTAGTGCAGTTACAGTCCTCAGGGCACAGTCTAGCCAGTATAGTTATTTGGGAGTGCAATGCAATACAGGTGTCGGGTTGATTTTGGATTTTGTTTGTGGGTTTTGGGGGTTTTTTGTGGTTTGGAGGTTTTTTTTGTTTGGGTTTTTAGGAGTTTTTTTGTTTTGGTTTTTTTTTGGTGGTTTGTTTTTTTTGTTTGGGTTTGTTTGGGTTAAGTTTTTTAAGCCACACTGTCATTGGTAGAAATATTCTTTATTGTGCAGTGATCTTATTTTGTAAGAATTAAGCAATGTTGAGCTGATGCTTCAGAATGAGGACATACTGTTGGTTTAATGTACAATAGTCTTAAGAGTCTGTCTGGAATAAATATACTCTTGCTCTGTAGGATTGTTGTTTTGGCTGAGATACATAATTAAAGCCCCAATCATTTGTAATGCCTTAGCACTAAT